TGCGAGGCGGGTTGCGAGATTGTCTCTTCAAAAGAAGCAGCCCTAGCTTGTCGGGTGGGGGATGAATCAAGGGGCCCAGGGACACAAATAAATCCACACAAATCCCAGGGTTCCTCATATTTTCCAATATTTCCTGGATTTTTGCTTCTCCTGTATTTTCTGGGGAATCGACGATTAATTGTGTCTGTGTGTTTGTTCCCCTCCTGAATCACCTTTTCGAAGGCCCGCGCGGAGTTCTGGGATCTCCGCGTGGCCTTCCTGGCGGGGCTTCCTGTAAACCCGCGCAGACCGTCGAAAGTTTGTGCTCGTTCCGTTTTCTGAGGGATGGGTTTCGAAAGTTTGTGTTTAATTACGTAGTTCTCGACCCCCACGTCGCCTGGTCGCCACCCTGAGCCACCCTCAGCCTGTCGGGTGGGGACCGAATCGGGGTCGTTGCGCTGCGTTGTTGTCGTCGTCCTAGACTCAGGAGGAAAACAAAAACACAGACACAAATCATCGCCGATCCCCAGGAACGAAGTGTAACTTTGGGCAGTAAAGAAGAAGACAAAGCTCCAGGAAAGATGCAAAAAAGATTGGGAATCCTAGGATGAGTGTTTCTCAGTTGTGTGTCCCTGGGCCCACTCCATTGTCGCCGTCCTAGACAGGGCGATCCGAAGCAGCTCGGGGGCGAGATCCGGCTGCAGCCCCTCGAGCGTGAGGTGCGCAACGTCCGGCAGATCCTCGCCGTGCAGGGCGGCTCGTGGCAGGAGCCGCCCGACGCCGTGCCGCTGTTCGTGTGCACGGAGCTGACGATGCAGGCGGGGGGGCATCGTCGGACGGGGCCCGGACGAGGACCAGGCCGAGGACGAGCACGATGATGATGGTGATGATGATGGCGATGACGATGAAGGTGATGATGATGATGCTGATGATGATGATGATGATGATGATGTCGATGGCGACGGCGACGATGATGATGTTGATGATCATGATCATGATGATGACGATGATGATGATGATGATGATGATGATGATGTTGCTGACGATGACGATGGCGATGGCGATGATGCTGATGATGATGATGATGATGATGATGATGATGATGATGATGGCCATGATGATGCTGATTATGATGATGGCGATGACGATGATGATGCTGATGATGATGATGATGCTGACGATGATGAGGACGATGGCGATGGTGGCGATGATGCTGATGATGATAACGACGATTACGATGATGATGCTGATGATGATGCTGATGATGACGATGACGACGGCGATGACGATAGCGATGACGATGAAGATGATGATGATGATGATGATGATGGTGGTGATGGTGATGATGATGATGATGATGATGATGATGATGGTGGTGATGGTGATGGTCATGGTGATGGTGATGCTGATGCTGATGCTGATGCTGATGCTGATGCTGATGATGATGATGATGATTTTGATGATGATGATGATGATGATGATGATGATGATGATGATGATGATGCTGATGATGATGCTGATGATGCTGATGATGATGACGATGATGATGATGATGATGATGATGATGATGATGATGATGATGATGATGATGATGATGATGATGATGATGATGACGGTGACGATGACGGTGACGATGACGGTGCCGATGACGGTAATGATGCAGTAGGGGAGTTATCATCGGACGGGGCTAGGAAGAGAATCATTGCGTTCCAGAACCTTCCCGAACGCGCCCTCAGAGAGTTCCGGGACGCTCTGGGAAGGATGTTGCGCCGGATACATCCTCCAGAGCCGCGGGATCGCAGAGGTTCTCGGCTTACCTTCAGCCGAGCTCATCGTCGCCCCGGCTTCGTCCTTGGGGGAGACACCAGGGGCAACGATCGGGGGAGGAGGAGGAGGAGGAGGAGGAGGAGGAGGAGAAGGAGGAGGAGGAGGAGGATGGAGGAGGAGGAGGAGGAGGAGGAGGAGGAGGAGGAGGAGGAGGAGGAGGAGGAGGAGGAGGAGGAGGAGGAGATGGGCCCCCGGGGGGGAGGGGACGCGACGGCCCCCAAGGGCCCACCGATCCTCTAGAGGGGGCCCGGCAGCCCACCCCGCCCAGGAGCGTGCGGGCTCGCCCTCGGGGGCCCGTCGCTGACCTGTCGGCGACGTGTCGCCCTAAAACGACGCGAAGATCGCCCTAAAACGACGCGATAACTCGAAATCTCTGAGAATCCGCAGGTTTGGAGGATGTATTGGGCGCCGCGGCCGCTCCAGAGCGTTCCGGAACGCTCTGAGAGCGCTCGTTGGAGAGGGGCTCGGCGTTCCTTGATCGTTCTGCAGTGTACCTTCAGTTTCCCTTAGGTTTCCCATGGGAAATCGGAGTTTAACTTATGAGAAAAAGGGGCCTCGTTCCTTATTTAGGGTTCCTTAGGTCAACGCCCCGACCGTACTCCAGGTCGATGTTTCCGTACTCCGTCGCTGACCTGTCGGCGACGTGTCGCCCTAAAACGACGCGAAGATCGGGACAACATCGGATCGGGATAACTCGAAATCTCTGAGAATCGGCGGGTTTGGAGGATGTATTGGGCGCCGCGGCCGCTCCAGAGCGTTCCGGAACGCTCTGAGAGCGCTCCGGAACGCTCTGGAGCGATTTATCCCGATCCTAGCCCTGTTTTACCTTTCTCTTGAGCCAGTCCACCCCTGTCGTTGCCCCTCAGGGGCGGGGGGAAGGTATCGATACCGCTACACTGAAGTCGAGCGTGTCCCTCTTCAGGAGGAGGATCGAAAGATAGCAAAACACAGCCTGGGGACGATGCTTTGACCATGCTTGATATCTTCAGCTATGTTGTATGTGTCCTCCAAACTCCCCCCTGTAGGAGGACATGCCCGACCTAACGCTACACTTTCCTCGTCGCCAGTGCTGGATTCGCCCCGAAGTTCTGGTCTGAACGCGCCACAGGAGAGGTCTATGGAGTAGCTGTGTGGGCACCTTTCTGTTTCCCGCCCTTTGTGGGGGCCCGTGTGGGCCCTGTTGGCCTCGGGCCTGCTCCCGGGACCCCTCCTCCTCCCCCTCCCCCTCCTCCCCCTCCCCCTCCTCCCCCTCCTCCTCCTCCTCCTCCTCCTCCTCCTCCTCCTCCTCCTCCTCCTCCTCCTCCTCCTCCTCCTCCTGCTGCCACCCCCAGCAATCCCCTGCTGGGGACATCCCCCCCCTGGCGGGGAAGGGATCGAGGGCCTTCTCTTCGACCGATCGGTGCTCTCCCTCCTGCGGCTCCGTGGGGCTCTTGGGCCGTCCCGGTCGGAGAAGACAGGAGGGGTCACGACCCCCGAGAGCCCCCACGGGCCCACGGAGGATGGGTCGGCGGCGGGGCGGCAGCGACCCCCCCCCCCCCTTGGTCGCTCCCTGGGAGCCCCCCCCCCGCCCAGCGCGGGGCAGGGAGCAAAGGAGAGAGGCGTCCCTCCGACTCGATGACGGCGTCGTTCGATGTTCGTCTGGCTGGGTCGCTCGACAAGGAGGGCCCAGGGAAAGGGGAGAGTGGCGACGGCGACCCACAGTGCGAAAACGTCTCACACACACACGCCGACGCGGGTGGCGGATTTCTCCCCCGCCGTGCAGCAATCTTACCCTCTATATCCATAGCAGACGACTCCTATGGGACGAGGCAGCGTCCTGGAGGCGGAGGCGGAGGCGGAGCAAAAGGAGGAGGAGGAGGAGGAGGAGGAGGAGGAGGAGGGGGAGGAGGAGGAGGAGGAGGGTGGGAGAAGGAGGAGAAGGAGGAACAGTAATAGTGGAGAGGCAGAGTCAGCTTGGTGGACGGAGCGTAGGCCCAACCATGTGCTATGCGTCCTGACCTGCCTATAGGCCTACGAAAGACTGGTCGAAGAACCCTGTGAGGTTTGAGCGTGCTGCTCTCAGGACATGTCTGACAGAGGCAATCTTGGCTTCAGGCATCGGTCATATGCCAAAAGGTCGTTGGCTTGATATCAGCTCATTCGCCCGCTCGAAGAACCTCTCTTGGCAGGTCAAGAGGGATGCAGTGCGGGGCGGCTCCTGGCATCTGGCCTTCCCCTCTCACCTTCAAGGGGAGGATGACGGACGAGGCAAGAGGACGAGGTGAATGACGACGAGGGCGAGGAGGCGAGGGAGGAGAGGTGGTCGCCAGACTGGAGAAGGGCGGAGGAGGGACGCAGGAGGACAGGGGGGAGGGAGTAGGAATTGGCACGCAAAAGAGAGGGGGAGGAGGGAGGAGGAGGAGGAGGAGGAGGAGGAGGAGGAGGAGGAGGAAGAGGAGGAGGAGGAGGAGGAGGAGG